TATTGGATTAAAGATTTTTGGGCTGGAAAATTAAAAAATCTGAGCCTATTTACATTTGTTGTAAAGCAGAAATACTGGACCATTATTAAAAAAATTCGTATTGAAATTAGAGTGTTTGGGCTGCTTTTTTAAAAATTAAAACTGAGCCCAACTGTAAACCCAAATTTCGGGCCTGTGAAAAATTTGAAATTACCGAGTGAACGGGTCTTTCATGTGGAAGCTGAGTTTGATTATACCTATTATTATTAGTCACGCCTAGCAATTGAATATAAAAGCTGAGTTTGATCTGCAATTATTACAAAATTTTTGTTTAGATTTTTTTTTTTTTTTTTTTTTTTTTTTTTTTTTTTTTTTTTTTTTTTTGGTTTAAGACATTTTTTATTTTTTTATTCAATTTTAGAATTTTTTTTTATAACGCCTAAAGTTCTCCTTGAAATTTTCTTTACTGCTATTTTATTTTATAGAAAGAAGATAGAATAGGCAAATCTATATCGGCATGCTTTATTTATTATTATTATTATTTTATTTTTTTTTGACATTTTTATGTGATTAACATGCGACATTTTTATGTGATTAACATGCAAATCTATTAATGAGTAGTACCTTTTGTTATACAAAATTTTGTTGAAATTCAAAAAAATTGACATGAATTGAACCCCTCAGTGTGTTTTCTACTGCTTTCTGTTTCAAATAAACAGATTAGATGCTTTGATTGCAAACTTGATAGAGTAGCACAGTATATGGTTTTTACTGATCTCTTATTTAATTGTAATTTATTTCAGAAAATTAAAAACATAAATGTCATAGATCTTTTGCTATACTTTTTTTTTAAAACAAAGTTATTGAGTCTAGTGATTGTTTTTCCTTCACTTTATCAATGTGTCATAGATCAATGAATATCTTTTTTTCATCATTTGCAGAAAAAATGGACTGTTGGGAATTCATTTATGTTGATGATACATGGGATTTATATGGATTTGATTTAATAATGTTGATTTTTGGTAAATTATTAATTTTTTCCTTCTTCTTTTTAGATTTTTTTACGGAGAAGTGAAAAAAAAAAATGAAAACTAACAAAAATTAGTATATCACTATCAATTGCCCCGTCAAATTTATTCATATGAAGTAAACGTTATTGATGCAATTAGAGTAAATTACATACCTTTTTGAGCCAAAAATGATTTTGGGTGAGAAACAAATTTGAGGCTACATCAAATTTAGTATTTTAGTAATTAATTAAAAATAATAACTTACCTTTTTGAGCTCAAAATTGCTTGGGAGGGAAACGTAGATAGAAATGAAAATAACTTACCTTTTTTAGCTAAAATTGTGTTTAGGCGGGAAAGTACCACCTAGATATAATTTAATAGGTTTTATTAAATGTTCATGGACTAGTAATTATATATATATAGATTTTAATGTGTCAGAAATATTTATGTCCTTTAAAAAACAAAATTACAAAAAAAAAACAGCTGCGTTACAGACCACAAACTAATAAAGGTGGGGCAATTCTTTGACTAAAATAGTTTGCAAAATAATAATATGACGTACAGTATTTACTATTTTATTATTAGTTCCATAAAAAGGTACGTACACCTGAACCTGAGCTGCACTGACCAATCATTGAAGCCTAAATTATTGTCATAAATAAATGATACACGGCTTTATTTATTGTCCGCTGGATACATATCAAATTATCAATTTTCTGAATATAATAAAAAATACTAGGGCTTTATTTATTGTCCGCTGGAGTAGATGATATTTTAATTTTATATGCACATTAATTATCAAAGTGGAGCCTATTCCGAACAAAATTATATTATAAGTTTAGAATTTCGAAAAAAATTATATTATGAACTATAAGTTCATAATATTATGACAAATCAATATCTAGTGAATATATTGAGTTGGTCTCGATTTGTTAGCTAAACGTGTTTTAGACGAGCTCGAATTCGAAAAAACCGAGCTCACTAGTGACTATTTTCATTTAACAATACATTTCAATAAATTTAGTATCTTAAGTGGTTATCAAATAATACTAGTAGATATCATATACACATGCACAGATGTACATAAAATATTAGTAAGTAATATTTGAAAATTTAATATTAAAATTTTAGAGATTATGAACAATTGTTTATTATCATTATATAATAATAACAATTTGATTATTATTATTATTATTATTATTATTATTATTATTAAAAAAATTGTTTATAAGCTTCTAAAGTTGTTTGACTATGCTATTAAAACAATTTACTAATTGTTTTTAAATAAATTTTTTCATGAGATACAAAAGAAAAAGATATTGATGTTAAAATACGTAACTTGAAACAATTGTTTATAGTTATGTAATTTATATTTATTGTGAATTATTATTAGTTGGTATTAGCAATAACTATTATATAATATAATAGGAAACATACATGATTACACTCATTAAGATGTATTAATGTGAGAAGTAAAAAATATTAATGATAAATTTTGTAACCGAAAATGGAGATAAAATTTTAGATGTTTTATTAAATAAATTTTATTAAATGCTACATTCCAGCAATTATATATATATATATATATATAGATTTATCTCAGATTTAGCTTTCACTTATTGTATTTGTACCCAACTAGTACAACGCCCGTGTATTACACGGGTGCTTGCTAATTTTTTTTCTTAAAATCTAAAATTACTGAAAAAAGATAGTTGAAAATTTAAGTACCTTTTAAAAATATTAATATTATTATATTGGGTATGACACTTTTTATTTGTGCGACTTACTTGTGTTATATTATAATAATTTTTAACTTACAACATATAACTACATTAAACATAAATATATCAATTGAGAAATTTATAACTACATTAACATTATTATTTTTTATTATTATAAAAATAAATATATTTTATTAATTTTATATATACAATATGGATGTCAAATCGAAGATCATCAAAATATAATTAATTTAATATATTATATATGTAAAACCGATAAAAAATAAAAATTATCAACTTTTAAAATACATTTACAATTCAATAGCTAATTGTAGGAAACAAATCAAAAGCCAGAGATATATTAGTCACGTAGTGACTCACTATCTAAAATTACAAGGAATTAAAGGGTTATATTAATATAATTAATATTAAAATACCTAAGTTAGCTAAATAATATTTATGGAATGCCCGAACCTAAATTATTAATTATTAATATATAATATTATTTGTCTAAACCTAACTACGAAGCATGATTCTTCGCCAAGTAGGATTCTAAAGCACCAGAAGCAGCCACGTAGACTCAGCGCATTTGGGAATTATATATAGGGAGGATTATACTGCGAAAAGAAAATGTGTGTTTTGTTTTTTGTTTTTTTTTGTTTTTTTTTTTTTTGTGTATATAACTATATATAATGGCTTAGATTAATATGCTGAACTTTACATTAATCGAAAATGATAGGTAACTAAATTATGAGAACAAACCTTTAATAACCGGTTTTGAGTTAAAAACAAGTAACAGAATGCAAAATTATATATAAAATACATACTTGCACGATCACACGTTAAAATTTTATTTATAATATATTTAAAATATAATAGTTTTTAATAAAAATATAGATATTTGTGAATAAAAAATATGCAAAGACCTATTGATTATATTATTTACATTAAAAGTAGGAACCAAAAATAGTTAACAATAGAGATTTTTTTTTTAAAAAAGAAGATAATCCTTTTTTTTAACAACTCGGTACGATATTCATTGCCGAGTAACTGATTTATGAGAAAACACCTTTAATAACCCGTTTTGAGTTAAAAACAGGTGAAATAATTCAATAATCATACATAAAATACATACTTAAACAATCAAATGTCGTGATTTTATTTATCGTGCATTTAAAGTATGACATTTTTTAATAAAATTATGCGATTTGGGTAAAAAAACATGTCAACTTAATGATTAGGCCGAGCTCGAGACCAACCGATTAATACATTTACATTAAGAGTAGGAACCAAAAAAATCAAGAAAAAAATAGTAGAATAGAAGAAATAACATAATGGAGATTTTGTAGAAAAAAAGATAATCGAGTTTATTTATTTATTTATTTTTTTAATAACTCGGTTCGATATTCGTTCTCGGGTAATAAAATCCGAGTTGGTGACAAACAAGTTAAGCACGCACGTGCGAAAACCGCAATCTCCATTCCAACACGTGCGGACCTCCACGTGTCCGCCAGGCCCTCCCATCCACTTTTCCATAATATTTAGGAGAAAAATAAAATAAGGAAAATGCTAAGGTTCCGTTACGGAACCATTCCGTGTGAATTTGTAACCGTTAGATCATCATGTAACCGTCGTGGATAGTTGATCTAACGGTTACAAACCCGACGGAAAGGTTTCGTAACGGGTTTGTAGAATCTCCCATAAAATAAAATAAAATAAAATAAAATAAAACACAATTTATCAAAGATTTGACCTTTTCACAGTTCCCAGCTTTAGCCGGAGCTCTGAAAATCACCTTCAGTTTGTGTTTCACACGCACACACATTACACGCACATGTTTGTGTGCCATATTTTTATATATTCATTCATACCCATGTTGCTGCGAATCTCCATACAGTTAGTGGGGATTGAAATTGAACGATTAGTTGCAGCAATTGCCCAAAGATCAGATTTTTATCTCTTTTACTTTTACACACACACACAGAGAGAGAGAGAGAGAGAGAGAGAGAGAGAGAGAGAGAAATACTCGCGAGATAGCGACGGAGGGTTGATGGGTTTTTCCTCCCCTTCACATTTTCTCTATCTAGAATGGGTTTGTTTCTCTCTCTAGACCTCTGATGCGGTTGATATCACACGGGAGAACGATTGCGCGAACAAACCCTTTTGGGCGTGTTCTCAAATTTTCCCTCTTTTCGATTTTATTAGTATTTTTTGTCCCAATTTTTTTGTTCATTTTTTATTTTCTTCTCTGTCTCTGTGTGTGTGTGCGTGTGTGTGTGTGTGTGGTGAGATGGGGGCGTGTGTTTCTCGTCCGGAGAACTGCGTGGGGGGTAAATTCGGCGGGTCGAGGAAGAAGAGGAATCGAAAGAGGAGAAGAAAGGTTTCGAGGAAAAGGGCTCACTCACACGTGTCTGATCTGTCGTCGGACAGTAGAATCGAAGTCGAAAAGCTTACGCCTTTGCCGGAGGATCGTGCCTTTGATGATCCCACTTTTCATGGTTCGTTTATCTATCTCTGTGTGTATGTGTGTGTCATTTTGTGTGTGTTGGTTCATATGTTTGTGAGCTTTGGGATGAGTTCTTTGTTTTTGAGCATGGAGCTTGTAGATAATAATGGGGATGAAATATTAGAGTTGTTGATTTTGTTGTGTGAGATCTAAGTGTGAAACATTGTCTAGTATTGTGCAGTGTTGATGTATTGTTGTACTCGAAAAATGTGGAAGCTCATGACCAGCTGGGCTTGTTGGGTTTCAAGTTCATCGACTGTAGTCATCAAAAGATTTTGGATTTGAAGTCCTTATATTATGATCCTCCTAGGTTTTGTTTAAAGCTTAACTATCTTTGTTTTGTTGATTTTGGGTTAGCATTTTCTATCGGTTTAATGTGGATTATTCGTAAAACCTCGCGATGGTATACGTCTTTTTTTGGTGTCTGTGTAGCTTTGAGGCTTTAGAAAATTTGGAGTTTTAGGGATTGTTAATTGTTTTGAATGGTAAAAAAAGAACAGAACATAAGATTTTTGAAGCTTCACATGTTGTTAATTTCTTGATGGAAGTAAAATCACTTTGACCGCCATTCTAAAGCAGACAAAACGACACGAACTATTGGCGTAGAATGACTTTGGCATTTTACATTTTTACGGCCCCGTTTTTATCTATCTTGCTGTTAAATGGTTTGATCATGGTATTTTCAGCTACTTCTTTGTGGTAGTTAAGCTACTTTTTAGGTAGATGATTAAGACCAAACTCAATGTTCATTGTTGAAGTCAAAGAAAATTGGTGAGATTGTACAGATGTTTTCAAATTTTTAAATTTTTCTTTTAGGCAATTGAATGTACTTTATAGGTTCTGAAATGATCTTCTGATCTTTCACTGTCTGTTTTATTTATTCTACATTTTTTTTTTTTTGTCGGGCAATTGTAGAAAGTGTGGAGGAGGCATGGTTCGACTCAGCTGGTATCCTCGATTCGGATTGGAGTGATGAAGACTACCAAAGTATCCCTGATGGTATTGTGCAAAACTTTTTCTTGAAAAAAAAAAAAAAAAAAATCGAACTTCATAGCGTGTTCACAAGAATGGGACCGAATGATTTTGCTTCTGGTTTTGACATTTAATACGAAAAACAAGCACTTCATTTTTCCCCTTTATTATACAGAAATGCTCTCTCTAAGCAGCTCAGATGTAACATCCATAACGAATCCGGAGGGCTTAACCTCCGAGCTCAAGGCAAAACCCGAAGAATTACTTATCGGGCCAAAGCCCGTTTATGCGGATGAGATATCGGGCTCGGGTCCTAATGAGGAAACATCAAGTCATGATGATAATAATAACTTGTTGGGAAACTGCAGAGTTATCCCGAGCAACTGTTTGCCTTGCTTGGCTTCAGCCATTAATGGTGGTACGGTTGAAAAGAGACGGTCTTTTAGCTCGAGCCCAACAAACGGGAGGAAAAAAACCGTCTCGAAAATACCTTTTAAATGGAAGGAGGGAAATCCAATGTCAGCCATACGTGAGTATATGATTTTATTTCTCATCGATTTACTGTTTTTAAGTTTGTTGTTTGGTTATTGGGCAAAAAAATAAAATAAAAAAATAAATAAATAACTAAATTGTTATAATGAGTTGTTATGTTACTGGCATTAGTTCTTCTTTATTTGTTCTGTTATTGCCCAAAAAAAAAAAAAATGATATATA